GTATGTGTGTGTGTGTGTGTGTGTGTGTGTGTGTGTACGACAGGTGTGTGTTGAGATAGCAGACGTAGAGTCGGTGATATGATCTATTACGTGCTATTTCGTAGTGGTGCTCACGTTAAGCCATTACATCTATGATACATTTTATTAGTATGCTCGTATTATTAGCTATGAGAGGGTCAGTACGCAAGCTTATGATATTTGTTGTGTTACTAAATCGCAATTGTTGATAAAGAGTTGCTTCTTAATTTGCTTGAATAGGCCTGATGAAATCATTCAATATATATTGCTCATTCTGTTTTAAAATGTATCGTTGCCGAAGTAACAATGCATATTTCTTCATCATATTTCGATGTTTAGGTTAGTTACAGGTATAGTGATATCGGGAAGATGTTGTCGAGGAAACTACTGTTAGCAGCAGCAAGAGTTTCGAAGGTTTGTTTCTTCCTCAAGGATGCCTTAATGCCATAATTTTATATAGCAGTTGAGTTTTATATGCAGTTTTGGATAATTCACTTCAAATTCAAAATATTATAATGGAAAGATCAAAGCAAATTTTAGGCTTCATCGAACGGTTTCGGAACAAGTAGTCGCTTCTGTGCAGCTGGTGCAGAAATGCTGAAAATTTTGGAGGATCGTATACGGGGGCAGGAATCGACGATTAACCTAGAAGAAACTGGAAAAGTACTTTCTATCGGTGATGGAATTGCTCGCGTTTATGGTCTTAAAAATATTCAAGCCGAAGAGATGGTGGAATTCGATTGCGGTATGAAGGTAGCGCTTTTTATTTTTTCATGCAAAAAATTTTTAAGTGCTTCAGGAAAAAGTGGTATAGAACACAAATGTCTGGTACATATAAATTTTGGAGCATAGCTTATTAAAATGTCATTTCGAAGTCTCATTCTTTAGAGATAAAGCTCATAAATGTTTGTTTTTGTATCTGCGCAAAAACGCATATAAGTTATTAAGAAGAAAGGAAATAACTATTGCTCAAAAAATTGAAATTTCTCTACTTTTAAAGATCATTTTTTAAAGGGTATGGCACTGAATCTAGAACCGGACAATGTCGGTGTGGTGGTATTTGGTAACGACAAAGTTATTAAAGAAGGTGATATTGTGAAGCGAACGGGAGCAATCGTTGACGTCCCAGTTGGAGAAGCATTGCTGGGGCGTGTTGTGGATGCGTTGGGTAATCCGATTGATGGTAAAGGACCAGTAAAATGTACGGAACGGTCTCGGGTTGGTGTCAAAGCTCCAGGAATCATTCCTCGTATTGGCGTACGTGAACCTATGCTTACTGGAGTGAAGGCTGTGGATTCTTTGGTACCGATTGGGCGTGGACAGCGTGAACTTATTATTGGTGATAGACAAACCGGGTATATTTTATTTCACTGTTGATTTATCAGTGTTAATATTGAAAAGATGATATTCTAGATTTTTTATTTTCTGGATAGATTTTCAAAATTTTTACTTCTTACTAGAGCAAAATTATTCAAAGGAATGTTCGGTTGATTTAGTCTAATAACCCGTAGGATCATTTATTTTAGTGTATTAGCAGTGTAACGTTATAACGTGATTTCTTAATAGGAAAACTGCAATTGCGATCGATACAATAATAAATCAGAAACGATTCAATGAAGGTAGTGATGAGAAGAAAAAACTCTACTGTATATATGTTGCTATTGGACAGAAGCGATCCACTGTTGCACAAATCGTAAAACGACTTACCGATACTGGTGCTATGAAATATACAATTATTGTTTCGGCCACTGCATCTGGTTATCTTTTGTTTACTCTTTCACTTCCATTATAGTAATTCTTTACTGAATCGGCTTGCTTTTCGTATAGTCTTGCAAGAAATCGAGAAATAAATGGGGACGGTTCTGTGAACAGTAATATGTGTTATTATATTGCTTTCAAATATATTGTTATGTTGTAAATAATATATAATGTAAATAATGTATAATTTGCGCCATCAATTGAATTCACATCGAAAATTTGAAAATAGATTTATGTGTTGTTGCAGATGCTGCACCGTTGCAGTATTTAGCACCATATTCTGGTTGCGCAGTGGGTGAATACTTTCGGGATCATGGAAAACATGCATTGATTATTTATGATGATCTCTCAAAACAAGCTGTGGCTTATCGACAGATGTCATTGTTACTCAGACGTCCTCCCGGACGTGAGGCATATCCTGGCGATGTCTTTTATCTTCATTCTCGTTTGTTAGAACGAGCTGCAAAAGTATATTTATTATGTAATCATTTTTCTTTTCCAATTTGCTATAGTTTTGGAAAATTTTGCTGTGACATGTCAAGTTGTTCTCGAAATATGGTGTTTCAGCTGAGTCTAGGGAGTCTGTTTATGCTTAAATGATTAATAATTTATACGTAGTTGATTTCATTACTTATGGAGAACGCTTTAGGTTCGAAGTTTCTAAAACTTTATATCAGCTATAGTGATAAGTTTTTCTAGATGAACGATTCTCATGGAGGTGGCTCGCTGACAGCACTGCCAGTTATTGAAACTCAAGCTGGCGATGTTTCTGCGTACATTCCCACTAATGTAATTTCAATCACAGATGGACAAATATTTCTGGAAACGGAGTTGTTTTATAAAGGTATACGACCAGCAATCAATGTTGGCTTGTCAGTTTCGCGAGTCGGTTCAGCTGCACAGACAAAGGCGATGAAACAGGTTAGATTACGGATCACAATGCCACAAATAAATGACTTTTTTTTGTTTGTCACACATCTTTTGTTTAAAATTGGGAAATTATTGGCTTTCTTGGTTCATTTAAGTTGTTTGACAACTTGTGGTAAGGAATGCGGAAATAAAGAAAGGAAAAAGAATAATTTATAAAAAAGTGGTAAATCAGATCAAGTTCAAGCATGATTGACAATGGATTAATTGTTATAAATATCAGATTTATGACAGCTAGAGCAAGAAAGTGAGATGCATAATTTTTTACAACTTTATAATTTTTCATGCATTAATTCAGCATGTAAGTTCCATTACTGACCAGTTGCAGACAAAAATCAGTAACTATCATGATAACAAAAATGAAACTTCATTTTTTACTGAATTCCACATCATTTTCTCTATAGCCATACAAAGGAGTTATAATTCATTTGCGTTATTCAAATAGTTCTGTATTTGCTGACAAGTAGTATTCCATGCTTTAGGTTGCTGGCTCAATGAAACTGGAGTTAGCCCAATACCGTGAAGTAGCTGCATTTGCGCAATTTGGTTCCGATTTGGATGCCGCTACTCAACAGCTGTTGAACCGCGGTGTACGTTTAACAGAGCTCCTTAAGCAGGGCCAGTATGTACCAATGGCTATTGAAGAACAGGTATTGTTTTTCTTCACTGTATTTGATCATTGTCGTCTAAGACACATCCAAAGGATTCTTAGTCGTTGCCAGTTCGAGTTATTCTACGATTCAATGTGCACTTCTTGGCCGGAATCGATTAAAGAATTGCTTTTCTATCTTTATTATATACACATGTATGTGAATGAAATGTACATTTCCAGGTAGCCGTAATTTATGCTGGTGTTAAGGGACATCTCGATAAATTGGATCCATCCCGTATAACCGTTTTTGAAAAAGAATTTCTAACTCACATTCGCCAAACGCAGCAAGAATTGTTAAAAACGATTCGCGAAGAAGGCCAGATAACTCCACAAACTGATGCAAAATTAAAGGACCTAGTAACCTCATTTATAACCAATTTCAAACATTAGATTATGGAGTACTTTGTTGTTTATATTATTAAGAATTTTTTCTGCCTCCATAGATTAATTTATATATTATTAGTAAGTAATGCTTAGGGAGAGACAGTTGTTATATTTCTAAAGTATTCTGATTTTCTATTTCGCTAATTGTTACGGTGGAAATAAATAATGCGTCTCCTTGCTTTTTACAGAGGATAGCATTGTAGAAATATGCAAGGTTTTATGACATCTGGAGATCCTCTCATTTTATGTTAGTGAGAAGACGATGTAGATTGAAGAATAACAAAATGCTTCAGGAGTTCATGGAAAAATAGTGTCGTAATCATCGTGGGATCATTCATTGTAGTTAAGATATTAAGAACAGTTCCGAACATACACGTTTTTATGGTGTATAAAGTTGCTGCATATTGAAACGTATGATATAGTGGGGATGTTAGTTAACTGTATGAACTGCAATGTTATGTATTAAAAGAGTGATCATTGAATACAGCAGTGTAAATGACCTTGGTGTGTCCAATCATACTGATAATATCATTGGAATGATGAAAAAAAAAGCAAACACCATACCAAGTACGACTAAGTTTTGTTTGCGGACAGTAAATACCACTTATTTCTGTATCAGTCATTGGGATATAAATTGGAAATATCTATACTGATTGCATGCAGCAGTTTTTAAAGAGCCATTCCCCCCAACATTTCTAGCTAAAAGACTTGCATAACCATTCTAAAATGATCAAAACTAGTTCATTTGTCGTCAAGATTCTTTAAACATTAAACGGATTAGAAAATCAACATTCTGGAATCAATGTATATATACCGAGTAAATAATAGCTCTTAATCTGCGATATATTTCATACTCCCTGTTTTAGAGAAGACAATCATATCAATTGTGATATAATCGCAGAACGGGATAAATGCAGCTACCTGCACTTAATTCATTATCAGCGATCAATAACCATGATGCAATATTATCCTTGGAAAGGACTTCTAGTCTGTATAATTTAGATTTCTAATCACTATAATTGTTTGGCATGACTGCATACCCGAAAGACAGCATAGCTACTTATACGATCACCATTTTAAAATGACACCAACACCAACAGCCAGCAACCACGATATGCAGCAACTAAAAAATTTTTCTCTTTCTTTGCATGATCGATAACATAAACATAACAAAAGCTTTATTATCTTCAGTAACAATTGAACAACCTGTTAAGTTATTCTGAAATAATTTCCTCGAGCAACACAATTTTCGAGATTGAAAATACAAACATAACTCACGTCACTCATTACTAAACAACTAACAGGATCAACCAATATAGCGAAAACAACATATTTTCGTTGGCTGAAAAATCATGAAATTCGCATTTTTAATAGGAAGATATTGAAAATACTTTTATTAGCCTAAGCTCTTTTACATTAAAGCACCTGGTTCATCAAAACAACTTGCTCTTAGAAAGTAACACCACCTAGCAATAGCTGTTGCCAGTGGCAATAAGTTCGGGTTCGACCTTCATCATTCTGTTTACAAAACATTGCACTGTGCAATTTATTTTCACGAACTAGGCAGATCTCAGTCAATATCCAACGCTAAGTCTACTGTCAATATGTCAAGAACAATTCCCACGCATTTTATCACAGTTACCCACAATGCCTCACTTGCTTGCTTAGGTAAACATCTCATTTCCAAAGATGTTTAGTAGAATGCACTAACGACACTTACCAAGTATTATGGTAGCCCACATCCTAAGTTCGATTACTAGTTAAAATATATTGAAAAAAGGATAAATCCAAAGTACAACAGCCGCTATGTGCTAGTTCAGAGTTTGGATATGTAATTTGATTAGCACTTGCCGAAAAGTCTTCTTACTAGTTACTAACTCCAAGATAATCGATAAAATAAATTAATCTGACTGTAGTCAAAATAAAGTCACTGGATCAAAAATTGAAACAATCCCGTAAGATCAAATATAAGTCAAAGATTTTGCGAAAATCTTGAAAAATTCCTCTCTGGACCATGAAGTTTCTAAATCTTGAAGATAAATAATATCGTGCCCCATGAAAAGGCAAGATGAATATTATTGTCAAATCCAAATGATCTAAAGAAAAATAAAAACGATGTAATAACGTCATGACACGATATATAATTCAATTGGAACATAAGACCGCGTCTCGACTAAAGTTGTAATCAAAAATCTGTGTAAAAGATTATGCTTTGAGGTACTAACCATCAAAATAACAAAACTCGCAAAAATAAATAAAAAGCCCCAGTTGTGGGCATCATAAAATGCGGCAGAAAAAACAAAATGAGAATCATGATAATGTGAATGAGCTACACGAAATTCACAACTTAAAATGAATTCATATTAACATCAGCTGAGAAATCATCACTGCCAAACTCTCGCTTTGATGCTGGACCGCCGGCCGCATCACCCGGCCGTTTGGCACCTCGAGGTGTCGTTGCTCCACGACCGCCTCGACCTCCTGTACCACGACCTCGACCTGCGGAACCACGCGGCTGAAATCCGCCTCCCTGAAAACGTTGGCTGCAAGATATGAAATTTTTTATATGCACATCTTAATTCAACGTATGATTTAAAAAACGTGACTGTGAAACCTAATTCAAAGCTTTTTATGTGAACAAAAGACAGCAAAACAAGCATTAAGCGATCATTTTTCAGAAAAAGTGAGAGATAAAACAGGATCACAGTGACTGTCAAAAACACACAAACCATAGCAATTAAACGAAAGTTAAAAATGCATTATATCATTTTGGCCATCGAATTTATTCTCTTCTCACTATGATAGCTATCAGTTAGGTTTATCACCCTAACCTTTTGATATTACAATTCGGTCTAATAAGTTCTAATCCAAATAGACTATGCAACATATCTTCAAATAAAAGAGCAATAAGTCGAAAATAAATTGGAAAGCGATACCAACTTTATTGGGCGAGGGATGTTGGTTTCCAAGTTTGCTCAAATTTCACTTCCTAAACATCAACCTTAAGTGTGAATTCTAAGCCACACGTCAAGTTTCCAGCTTAATACCATAAACAAATATTTTGTGATTCGTAATATTTTGTGTTTCTCATACAATAAAGTCAACAATCACAAAATCTTTCTTGTCCATAAAAAATTTAACAAGGAACAAAATTATTAAAAGCTTACTGTCTTGTTAAGAGATAAACACCATTAATTAAGAGATAAACTCTTTCATGTGGTGTGTATGTACACATACAAGACTAACAACTCATCATGTTTAAAAAATCCCATTTAAAAGCATACTGGCATGCCACCTCGACCTCCTCGGCCTCCCACCTGCGGTGTGCCGTACCCGTAACCATAAGGGTCAGGACCATAACCATAAGCATCGTAGCCATATCCATAGGCACCTGGAGGTGTTCCATAACCATATAATTCCTCATAGCCTGCTGAAATATATCACTTAACTCTGTAACTATTAAAACCACAAATATAGTAACCAGAAAATAATCACAAGAGATCTTTAAAAATATATGCATAAGAGTCATGAAATAAAAAGAATGCTTAAACATTACCATAGGGATCATAACCACTGTAACTAAAATCAGTTGGTCCACCAAAACTACCACGTCCAAAACCTGGTGTACCACGTCCACCTCGTAAGCCACGACCAAAACCAAAATCACCAAATGCACCTCGTACACCAAAACCTCGGCCGCGTCCACGCATCATTTTTTTCTTATCGCTTTGGGGTTTCGCAAGAGAAATATTAATTGCGATACCTTCCAATTCTGTGCCGTTGAGTGCTTCCATCGCCTAAATGAATTTTAAAATGAACTAAGACTAAATAACGATCTCAAAAGTTTAACCTAAAGCTATCAATCGACAAAAAGCAAAAATACCTTGATAGCTGGTTCTCTTTCCATAAAATGAATAAAGGCATAGTCGCGAATTTTTTTTGCTCGATCAACTTCACCATAAGCCGAAAACATCTCTTTAAGTTGCTCCTCAGTAACAGCCTCCTTTAAATTCCGCACATATAATACCTTAACTTTTGCCATCGTTTCTTCATCAGGTTCCTCTTGCTGCTCAGCCCAATCTACTACCAAATCCGAATTCCACGGTCGCAGCTTAAAAAGCATAAAAATATTCACTCATAACCACAGCAGTGAAATTTAAAAAACGCTTTAGAAAAAAGTTCAAAAACCGCTCGTCACTACCAATAGGCGTTTGCTGCCTTAAAATGACACATTTACTATATTAAATTTATTATCCAGATAAAACTATCAAAAATTTAATTCAAAAAATATTACCTTGCCAGCGTGAATCTTGCGTTTTGCGTCTGATGCGGTCTTGTGATCACAGAAATCAAGGAAACAGAAGCCACGATTCTTGCGGCTTTCCCCTGCATCAGGACTTGAATAAATTATGCAGTCTGTCACACCCTCTGAAAAATTTATCGATTCAGATAACAATAAATCACACCATAAAGAGAAATTTCCTAAGAAAAATAAGACAGTGAAGACAGAATTGCTTACCTGCAAAGTACGAAATGAATGAAAAAAGGAGAAACTTACCCGAAGATGTACAAAAGCGGTCTTCAAGAAGGCCAGGATGATCAAAAAGTAATGAATCCAGCTGTATCGCACAGATACTAGGCAAAGGACAAGCACAACACCATCAGCTTCTTCAAAACCAAAAAGTCCTTCCCACGAAAAACACCTTTTGAAAACGTGTGTGAACGAGATTTGGTACCACTTTTTGGGCCAAAATTTACCTGTGTGTTCTTTAAATTCCGCAAGAATTTCCTCTTTTGACTTCGATTTTGGAATGTTCCCAATAAATAGTCGTGTGTTGGCAACGCTCACGTTCACTTTCAGATTTTTTCCGGGCATTATTTCGTAACCATCAAACTAGAAACAGAGATCAGAACAAATGCAGCTGTTTTTTGCCAAATTTCTCTTTTTTTTCATGCTCTAAAAATTCAGCATTATTTTCCAGAAAATGCTCAAAAATTTTATTTCC